GATCGCAAGAGGGAAACCCCTCTTCAAACTCATCGGCCAGATCCACCTGCGATCCCCACGAGCTCATTCCCTTCCGTGCCTCAGCAGCGGCTGGTCCTGAATCGCGGGAAGCAGATGGCTGCCCGTCTTTCCTCGAAAAGAGAGACAAACGAGAGTGGATCTTTTTCATTGGAAAAACGCTCGCAGTGCACGCCGATTTTCCCCTCGGAGACATCGCGTGCGTGCTCTTCGCCCAAACAAATAACGCATAGATCGTGTGTGTCAAAACAGTCAGTGAAGACGAAGAAGAGGATGATGTGTTCTCCCGGCGCCTATTTATACAATAGTTGCACCGGCAGTGACGTCATGTCTGTTGCCGGCCAACGTGTTGTTGGTGTATTTTCAATGTATGCTTCAGACACAGGTCACGACGAGGCGTTCCCCATAGCGACCCCTAGAGGACGCAGTTCGAAGTTCCCATGAAAGGGAACACTTATTTTAAAATAGTATTTCTTTTTTTTTTTTTTTACAGTGTTTGTGATCAAATAAGCACAGCCTTGGTGAGCAGAGGAGACTTCTTTCAAAAACATTTTTTTAATTTGTATTATTATTATTTTTTTTATTTTTTTTTAATGGTAACAAATTAGATTAGAGAACACATAGTCACTGTTAGTTGTTGTAGTATTTATGTTTAGGTATTTGATAAGGTTGAGCAATCTAAAATATTGTCTTACATTAACATGTGCTTTATAAGTACGAATAAACAGTCAATATGCTAGTAATATGCATGCTAACAAGCAACTGGTTATCTAAAGTGTTATCAAAAAATTTGGCTGACCCCAAACTTTTGACTTGTATTGTATGAATTGTGAGAATTTACAGTATGCCTTTATATGCCTATAGGAAAATCAACTGCAAACATACTGCATGTAACAAATGCATAAATACTTTATGAGTGCAGCGGTCAGTCTGCACATGTTTGCAGTCTCAGTCTCACAGTCTACTGAGTCTCAGTCTCAGTCCTTCACAGCACCAGACTTTGAAAGAACAAAGTTTAGTTTGAAGAGTTCACCAGAGATATCAGCCAATTTCAGAGCCTGCTGCATTTCAACATATGCTAAATACATATTGTGAGCTGTATATCAATGTATGAGTAAACATATGGTGGATCATATAAATATTATTTAGCTTTTTAAATAAATATTTGTTCTGTCAAATGATTAATCGTGATTAATCGCATACAGAATAAAAGTTTTTTGTTTGTATAAAATATGCATGCATTCTATGTATTTTTATTATGTATATATAAATACACACATACAGTATATATTTTGAAAATATTTACATGCATTTACATGTCTATATTTATATTTATATTATATTATGTAAACAAAAACTTTTATTTTTTGGATGCGATTAATCGTTTGACAGCACTAGTTTATAATTAAATTTATCAACACTCAGTTTCTGTTAATAAAGTCTGAAAACAAGCAGCAATCTCATAATTACAGCAGAAATATTTAAGCCATTATGGGGGCCTTTGAGTATTGTGTTGGACAGTGAGGGGCCTTCAGGTCAACTCCTAACCACTAAACAAAAAGACATACTAAATACTCAAATAGCGAATATCTAGCAAATTCACAAGAAACCTTTTCTCCTGACACTATAAGACTCAAAGTGATGTGGGAAATGGTCTGCTTCAAAATGACAGGAACTCAAAACATACTTTACATTAAATTACAATATATGTGTACGTACACCCTCAGCTTCATGATGTTTGAAAGGCACTCGCGATCACAGCCCTCCCACATGCGCTTATTACTTTAAAAGTGATGGAGGGACAAACGGAGATGGAGAGAGAGAAATGGAGGTTGAAAGATGAATGGAAAGATAGCCCTGACAAACTGCAGGCGCCTCTAACATTCCTCTCAGGCCTGTTGAGAAAGTAGCTGTGAGTTCAGAGTCCTTGACATGTTCCGCCTGCCAGCTGAAATCCACTAACACACAGACGGACTGACAGCTCTTTGTGTCCTGGCACGGCCTGATACATTCCTCACAGCCCAACACTGATAAGACTCGAGACAAAACATCAAATATACTTGTAACCAGTGTTGGAGAAGCTACCATGAAACTTGTCAAGTTACAAACTACCCTTGGATATACTACAAGCTACTAACAAAAAGTAGGTGACAATATTAAACCTACCTAAGGGGACACCCCCTGTCTCAAATATACACTTTTGACCAATATTTTTTCATGACTTCTAATAATCATCTTATATCAACTAAATGCTATTTTTCCTGTGATGGCAAAGCTTATTTTTTTATGTTCAGCATCATTACTCCAGTCTTCAGTATCACACGTTCCTTCAGAAATCATTCTAATATGCTGATTTGCTGCTCAAAACACATTTATTATTATTATTATCAAGGCTGAAAACTACTTAATATTTTTGTGGAAACCATGATACAATTTTTTTTTGACATATTTTGATTAAAAAGTTCAAAAGAACAGCATTTAGTTTTTTTTAGCTTCCTAAATCTTTTGTAATATTATTAATATCTTTACTGCTACTTTTGTAAAATTTAATGCACAAGTATTATTTCTTTGCTAGTTTTAAAGCATCACGTTGTTATATTTACCCAAATGGGAAAGTTTTGCCTCACGCTTTAGCAGTGGTTCTTAACAAGGGAGCTGGGGACCATTTTACATGACTTTACCATGACTTAAGATTTTAGTAAGTTTAGTGACTTTTCCAGAACACTAAAAAAATCCCTAATATTTCCAGATTTTCCATGACAAAGGAAACCCTGGAACAATGCTGACCATTCTCAGGGTTGACACTTTTTATGTTCCATGAAACTTGAATTTATTAAACGGATAGTTCCGGTCCTTGATTCTGATTGGCTGAGCCGTGTTCGAAGCTGTTGTAAATTACACTACAAACATACACCTTTGTTTACTTCTGTGTGTTGCTCGGCAACCACTTTGTTGCAGCCACAACGGTTTCTGAGGAACTACATTGTTTGGTGGAAGAATACTGTTTTTATTAATATCATTACACGTTTATTTTATCTGTTTTATTCTGTGAAACCTTACTACGTATATGGAATAACCGTTTTATAAAAGCAATAAGCCCAGTGAAGCCGTGGTTTACAGTGAATTTATAACAGCTAAGGGGGTTTTAGGCACTCCTCTTCGGGTCGTGCCTAACAACGCCCCTTAGCTGTTATAAATTCACTGTAACCACGGCTTCTTGGGGCTTATTGCTTTAATAAATACAACTAGAAAAACTAGAACACACCCAAAAATTTAGTGATAAACAGCAACATTTAGCATATTAATTTACTATTACACACTATTTACTAAACACAGACCAGTGAATAATTTTTCAGTTGTTGTAAAAAGAAGGTTATTACTGGAAAAGTTTATCATTTTAAAAACAGCTAAGCTACTATGACACTACTGAAAAATATAGTTACGCTAGTATCTCCTTTCAGCAGCCACTTGCAACAAACACTTGATACAATTCAGTCTGTTTTCCGAAACCTTGCTTCTCAAGAGCACAACAGGTTGTGATTTGTGATTCATATCCCAAAGGTATAAGCCTCATTTTCCCTGTTATCATTTCCAAAACATCATGAGGCAGTGATATCCCGGAATACTGATTCATCTAGTTCTGCTGAACTTCCCTGACCCTGGTTAAGCTCTGTTTAGGGTTCGGAGTGCTGAATATTTATAGCAAGACAAGATGAATTGCTGTCTCTGTTCTTGCCCTGACCTGACTGATACCAGCAAAGCAAACCCTGCCAATGAAAAAATACCATTAGTTTCACATACTCTAGCATGGTTCATTATGGGGCCTCAGACTGCAAACCACATACTCTGCTGACCTTTTCCACGGGCCTATGGCGCCACCAAGTGACCACTGTGGGGCTCAGAGATACAGAGGTGGACAGAGGAAGAGACAACTGATCCAGAACATGATAGTACTTTCATAAAGAGATCACTGCAACGATTGAATTACACATACACACTAGTGTATCCAGGCAAACGGACTAACCTTTCTGCAGCGTGGGTTTGGGCAACTGAACAGAGAAATGTCTTTATCCAACAGTGCTGGGAAGTTACAAAATGGACACCTTGAAAAGAAAGTGAGGAAAAATAGTGTTGTTAGGATTTATAATGATGAATCATTTTAATCTCAAGTTTGTATAATTTTAAATTTTTTGAATTCTGTTTCTCTATCGCATGGCTTTCGAAAAGTTGAAATATAAAGCACTATATGGACTACTTGATGTGGATTACTTTTTTGCCTTTTTGGAGCTTGACAGTTCCAGCTATAATTAACTTTCCTTGTATGGAAATGAGCAGTTTGGACATTCGTCAAAATATCTCTTACTTTGTTCCACAGATAAAGAAAAGTAATATAGCTGTCTATCAACACGTTTAACTAACCTGACCAGTTCATCAGCACAGGTGGCTGCTACGGCCTCCTCTGCCTGTCTCTCGTAATATTTGCACAGAATGTTTTCAGGTAAAACCTTCTCCAGCTCACTGGTAGGGAAGGAACAGGTGCAGCTCCCATCCATACAACTCAACTCCGACTGCAAACAAACACAAAGAACCCTTGTTAATACCAAAGTACACTGTAACTGTAAAATTCAACGAGTGCTTGCATTGAGAACCTACACTACTGCTAAAAGGTTTGGGGTCAGTAAGATGCCTTTTTTTAAATGATGCATTAAGTTGATCAAAAGTGACAGTAAAGACATTCAGAATGCTACAAAAAAAATATATTTTAAATCAATTCTGTTCTTTTCTATTCATCAAAGAATCTGGAAAAAAAAAGTATCACGGTTTCCCCCAAAATATTAAGTGTTTTCAACACTGATTATAATAAATAATGTTTCTTGAGCAGCAAATCATCATATTAGAATGATTTCTGAAGGATCATGTGGCACTGAAGACTGGAGGAATGATGCTGAATATTTAGCTTTGCTATCACAGGAATAAACTACATTTTAAATAACATTACAATAGAAAATGTTCAAATGAAATAGTTTTTACAGTAAAACTTTTTTCCCGTTTTTACTGTATTTATGATCCAATAAATGCAATCTTGGTGAGCATTTCTTTCAAAAACACTTACCGACCACACACTTTTGAGTGGTAGTGGATGTGTCTAAACACGCTGTATGAATTTCACTCCATTAGACATAAAATATGAAACACCTGCAAACCAATGATGCCAGAGCTTTTCTGAGAACTTGTCGTATCCCATTTTTTGTGCAATAATCAAGGTGAATATAAACAGTATATCTTTTGTTTATGATTATAAGAATGGAAATGAAACTCAGATGGGAGACAAATTGGGAAGCACCTAAAAAGCACAGGGCAAAATGAAACCAAAACACACAGGAATTTTTAAAACATGAGAACAAAACATGAACACTGTGCACAATGCCTGAAAACATAATTTAGATAAACATAATAATGGTCATGACCGCACACACAGTTTCAAGTAATACAGTTCAAAAGTCATAAAGGTAATCTCAGAGACTGAACAGTCTGAACAGATGACTTACCCGTCCCGAGCCGAACACTGCCTCCTGGGCGTATTTCACCAGACACTCCTTGCAGAACAAATGGCCATCTGTACACTGGGTCATCTCCTCAAAGGCAAACTCCCCACAGCAGCAGCCACACTCAATCAACTGGCCGTCCTGAGAGCACAGGTCAAAAATGTCACATGCTTTCAACACAAAGTTCAGTATTATAATCTACAACACATTACAAGGCTGAGCGAGGTCCCTCTATTCTGATTTTAGAGCTGGAACTGTCTGTTTTACACAATAATTTACAACTGTGGAAAGGGACAAAATAACTTTCACACTCTTATACTTATACACACACTTATGATGTGGATTGACATGTTCTTTACAAGAGCATTTAAAGTACATAAACTGGCTCTTCACACCCACCTTTTGATACTGCTCCTCATTCACTTGCAAAGCCAACAGGAAATCTTCATGCTGAAAGTGGGAGAAAAACCCTCCTAATTATTTCAACAATTAACACCCCGTCAGCTCATTTCACCACAAGCCTATTTCTTTGGGTTATTTCAGGAGGAACCATTAGAAATAAATGGAAGAAGTGAGCCGTGTAAAGTACCTCAGCCATTTCCTTGGCTTTCTGCTCGTAGAACTGCAGCTCTTTCACGAGCGACGGCTCCATTGTAGTCTCGTTACCGCGGCTCCATCTACGATTCTTCTCCAGAAAGTACATCTTTCTCTCCAGTTTTAAAGAACCTGAGATGAACGAGACGCAATGAGCATTTCACTGTTTACCTGGTTTTATTTTGCGTTCAAAGAAAGAATCATATTATTGCTCTTTTGTTGGTTTTGATTGCTTCTATTGTCCTCATTTGTAAGTCGCTTTGGATAAAAGCGTCTGCTAAATGACTAAATGTAATGTAAATGTAAAAAGCATACAAAAAACAAAAGGCATATGTACTCACCCTGCTCAAACTTGAAGTCTATGAACGCACGCTCATTTGGCTCTCTCCTTCTCTTCTTCTTCCCTGAGGGGTCAGTAGAGTTCTCTTGCCACTTCTTGAGGGCTTCGAATAAGGCCTTGAAAGGTTACCAGAAAGATTAACGCCATACAAATGACTAGTGGTCATACAATATGGGACTGTCAATAGCTGATGCCAATATCTGGAGAGTGACATTTGCAGTTGCTCTGTGAAATTTTTCAGGTGAAAAAGTCAGACTGAATTAGGGCTGAACGATTTTGGAAAATAATCTAATTGCGATTTTTTTTACCAATATTGCGATTGAATATGCAATTATTTTTTAAAAGCTCTTTATGTTCTGTATTATTCAACAAAGACAAGCTATAAATCATTGTATAGTGTGACCAACACAATATTAGATAGATTAAACATAAATGTTCTTTTCTGTAGGCCAGGCCTATATGTTACGATGAAATTAGGTGATGCATGAATTTGAATGGAACACAATATGAAAGATACTAAAGTAATGACAATGAAATACATGTCCAAAGCTATGCTGCCAACTAGCAAACCAAGCAACCCTAAACAACTGCTTTCAAATGGCCTCCATTATGGCGACGCGTACACGCACAGCAGCTTGGCACTTTCCAAGTAGCAGCAGTCTATTGTTTTTTTATTTATTAGGTCTACTCGTGTTGTTGTATGTGGAACCCTGCTGTCGTTTTCATTTTTTTCATTGAAGATTTGTTCTTTTAATGTTTGTTGGAATTGCTGTTTTTATATTTACATTTACATTTAATCATTTAGCAGATGCTTTTATCCAAAGCGACTTACAAATGAGAACAATAGAAGCAATCAGACCAACGAGAGAACAACAGTATACAAGTGCCATGACAAGTCTCAGTTAGTCTAGCACAGTACACGTAGCTAGGGTTTTTCTTTTTTTTTAAATAATACAATGGAATAGAACAGAACAGAATAAAAAGACAGAATAGCTGCTTATATGCTGCAAACTGGACTGTGTCATAGAGAATTTCGTTGTAACCCTGTGTAAGAAACTATAGTATGCCCCGACCCAGATTCCACTCCACAATAGATGTTTGTTCATGCCCATTTCCCAAAACGGCTTAATTATTATAGAGAAGATGAAAGTCAACAGTTATGTTGTTTCTGCACCATTTGGGATGATCACATACTGAGCAAATGGTGACCAATTGTAGAATGAGAGCGGGTGTGGGACACCGAGAACCATCCCAGACAATTAGGCATCAGAACTTCATTAACACTCAGAGCACAGCTGTTACGACAGGAGGAACTTCTTTTACATTAAGGGTAGTAGAGTGTAAGTGTATAAAAGGTTTGAGCTTAGGATGTTCGGGGTTCATTCTGACTCTGTTGAGCCCAAGGTACTACATGTAGTTTGTCACTGCTATGCTGCAATAAGCATCTTCATCAAGAACTTCTATCATCATAACTTTTTCTTACATCTGCTACGATGACAATAAATTAATAAGTCTAAATAAGTCTCTTTTTTATGGATTTCAAACATTGAAGTATAATGTTATACAAATCCCGCTGAGAACAGGCACCTCGTCCATCAGTTTTGGTTTGCAGGCAAGTTACGAACCTCCGCCCACACAGAGGTCACTGTCAAGCCCGGGAGGCTCGCTATTGGTCAGCACTGCGCACCTGTGTGTCACCAAAATTAAACCTGACACAATTTCTCTGCCACTTGAAGTTTATCAGGCAAAACCGTTCACTGCACCCCTTTCGCTCCCAAAATTTTGCCGAGCAACAGTAAACGTGGCTGCAACTTTACACTAAATAGTTGAAAAACAGCCAGTTTACTGTGAATGTTTCTGTTATTTACAAAATGTAATAAATCACTTCAATATTAAGTGTATTCATCTTGCACTGCAGATGATTTAGTTAATCACAGTCATTTAAATGTAGCACACACAAAATCAAAGCCCTAAAAGAGACTATTAATCGTCATAATCGCAGTTACTTCTTAAACAATTAAACGCCAGCCAAAATTTCTATAACAAGTGTGACAGCCCTAGTTGAAATCAAATCAATGTTTAGATCACTCACAATTTTCCTTAAAGTACACACAATGAAAACAGAGAATATTTTTCACCTTTCGGGTGATTGCATAGTGTCCTTTGAGGCAATTCAGGGCCCATTTGATATCCTGACAGCTCAACATTCTGAAGTCACCCATCAGCATGTCTGCAGCTTGAATGACGACCTCTGGGCCAACAGTCTTTAGTTTGAAATAATCAAAAAAAAATTCACTTTCCTGCGTAACAGAGAAAAGTAAGTAAATTATACCACATTAGTTAGATGTTTATGTTTAATACATTCATAGTAACAACACCACATATAAACTACGGATCGGATGAAAATATTGTGCAAACCTGCGTCTCAGAATCATTCGCCTCGAGGAGAACACTGCTTTGTGTCAAAACGGAGTTCGCTTTTTTCGGATAATCAGGGTTTTCCAACAATAGATTGCATATTCTGTGATAAAAAAAACAAACAATGTCTCACAAAAAAATAAATCACATGTAAACAAAATACGTCTGATCAAGAAATGAGCAGAAAAAGGTTTGTGCTTACACATTTAAATCTTTCAGTTCACCTCTCTCTATCAATTCTGCTACATATGCGTCCTGCACATCGGGGAAAAGGTCCATCTGAAAATGTCGAAACAAATCAAAATACATCCCACCTTTGAAATACAATATGCACACTCGGATCCATTAAAGGGTAGTTCACCCCAAAATGAAAATTCTGTCATTATTTACTCAGCCTCTTGTTGTTCCAAATCCATAAGACCTTTGTTCATCTTCGGAACACAAATTAAGATGTTTTTGATGAAATCCGAGAGCTCTCTGACCCTCTGTAGACAGAAACGCAATGTTCCCAGGTCCAGAAACGTAGCAAGGGCATCGGTAAAACAGTCCATGTGACATCAGGGGTTCAACTACAATTTTGCAATGCTACAAGAATACTTTTTGTGCACAAAGAAAACAAAAATAACAATTTATTCAACAATTCTTCTCCGCCGAGTTACCATCTTCTGCCATTTTGGAGAGTACCCCACAATGTAATCATCGCTGTTTATGTTCGGGGGGAAAGAGCACGCATGAACATAATTGCCGTTGTTTGCGCTTAGGGGAAAGCGTGCGGGTGTGTTGTGATACTCTCCAAACCGTTGTTTGCGCTTAGGGGAAAGCGTGCGTGTGTGTTGTGATACTCTCCAAAATGGTGGAAGACGGTAACTCGGGGGAGAAGAATCGTTGAAAAAAGTCGTTATTTTAGTTTTCTTTGTGCACAAGAAAAGTATTTTCGTAGCTTCGCAAAAGTGAAGTTGAGCCACTGATATCACATGGACCATTTTACCGATGTCCTTACTACGTTTCTGGAGCTGGGAACATTACAGTTGCGTTGATGTCGATGGGAGGGTCAGAGAGCGCTCGGATTTCATCAAAAATATCTTAATTCATGTTCTGAAGATGAACAAAGGTCTTACCGGTTTGAAACGACATGAGGGTGAGTAATTAATGACAGAATTTTAATTTTGGGGTGAACTAACCCTTTAACACGAGGAGCTAATCAGAAGACTCACCACCCTCTTCACCAGCATATCAAGGGTCGTCCGGTCAGGGGTCTGCTGTATGACGGGCTCTCTGGGCGCTGAAGGTCCAGGTCTCTCATTGTCAGCAGGTGCAGGGAAACGTGCAGGAGAGAGAGGGGCCGCCGGCTGCTCGTCTCGTCTGACCTCTACTAGCACAGTCTCCTGTGGCGTCCGAGGCCTTTTTGTGGTCCTTTCAGTTCTCGGCCAGACGACCACTTCAATTTTGTTGCCCAAGTCTGACTGACCTGATTCAGTGGTGGGTGGAGCTGAGAAAACAGAATTGGCCTGATTCACTGAGTGTGCACTGAATGAAGGGTCCTTGGGAAGGGGCAGTGAGTCCTTAACAGGCATTGGAGGTCTGTGCAAGGCATTTTCTCTAGATGTCGAGGGTACAGCATTCTGGTCTGTGGTTAAGACACCTATGGCTTGGTTTCCTAATGTAGGATGTGCAGTGACTACAGAAGGATGATGAGCGTGTGCGCTGGTAGGATGTCTGTTGGATCCAGATGCCTGGCTTGGGAAGGTGCTCGCACCCCACTTAGCAGCAGGTCGGATCAGCTCACGAAGAGGTGAGGGCTGTGGCTGCCAGATGGAAAGAGAGTGTATGATTAATATTTGAACAGGAACTGCTCATCACGTTTTAGTGCAGTAATTACACATACATTTTCTGGAAATCAGAAATTTAAGCACTGAGCAAATTATAATTTCTCTCAACTCAATTTCTCTGTAGTTGTCATTTTTCTTGAGGAAAAAAAAAGTTTTTTTATGGCCAAAACAAAAACAGTGCTGCTAAAAAGTATTTAGACATTTAAGGAACAATTAAAAATCATTAGACAGTAGACTTCATGAGATATTAAATGGTTACATGCGCAGTTACCTACTACACCAGTGTTATTTTAGTATCATTTAGTTTTTATTAGTAACGGTAAAAACATTTTTTTATTAATAAATACATTTACATATTTTATATTTACAAATTTAACTAAATTAAAATGAAAAATGTTGACTTGGCAACTAGTTGAAATTAAAAGTTTTTTATATTTTGTATTTAATTTATATTTTTAATCAAGTAATTTAGCTTTAGTTAACTTAACCCTGTTGCCTAGAAAATAACACAAGGCAGTTTGATGCTAAATTGAAACTCTCGTGAACGTGTGTCAAAGACTGACATGGAAGAGAAGAAATTGTAGTTATTTTTGTTCAAAGTATTCTCATAGCTTCATACAATTACGGTTGAACCACTGATGTCATATGGACTATTTTAATGATGTCCTTACTACCTTTCTGGGCCTTGAACGTGGTAGTTTCGTTGCTGTCTGCAGGGTCAGAAAGCTCTCAAATTTCATCAAAAATATCTTAATTTGTGGTCCTGAGGTCTTATAGGTTTGGAATGACATGAGGGTGAGTAATTAATGACTGAATCAGGGGTTAAAGCAAAAATAAAATCCTGAGCCTGAACTTTTTTCCGGGGCTTGGGGGTTGCGGGGGCGGACACATACACAGGGTTATTTGGCAAACAAAAAAAGAAAATGATTTTCCTTGAAACTAATTAGTAACGTATCTGCCATAAGCCCTTGACAGGCTCAGACTACAGATTATGGTGGGATATTTGAAACAGCAATACCAAGAAAGGTTACTCACTACAATATGGTGCAAACACATGTAACATTTAGGATGATTTTCACATCAAGTTTTGCTGGTTAGCTTTGTCCTTGACAGGGTACAAGATGATCTACAAACTAAAACATGAAATTTCTGAAATTGTTTTGTTTTCAAAAGAAATAATGGTAAATTAAATACTAGGAAATTAATATATAATAGGAAATATAAAAAGACAGTTTACTACAGAAAACTACAGTTCAGTTCAATTAACAACAACAAAAACATTAAAATGGTCCAAGAACTGGTAACTTAAACAGGGTTTATACAGATACTGCAAAATAAGATTCCAGGACTTTCAAGGACTTTTT